AGACAAACTACAAAGACGCAAGCAAAGCCGCCGTGTCGCCATGAGCAACACGCGAGCCGAGCCGCCTCAAGCAACTAACAAAAGTAACTTTTTTTTTTTTTTTTTTTTTTTTGTGTGCGCGTTTGCAAGGATGGAGGGTAAAGTGCGTGGCGCATCGCGTTCCTCTCCTTCCCCGTTGCCCAGCAAGGGGAACGCTAGAGGCGCGATGTCGACATCCGACGCCCGAGGAGCGGCACGGGCCACCGCGGGTCGCGAGCCATTTCGGTTACCAAAAGCTTTTTGAAACAAGAAGCGGCGCGGCTCTACGGCAACGCCGGCTCGGTGACTCGATAGCTTCATGCCTCCGGTAGGGTCGCAAAATTTGGTCGCGAATACAGGTGTCGAAATTCTTTAGTCACAATTTCCGAAAAAAAAAAAGAAAAAAAAGGTCGACTTATATTCGAATAAACACGGCCGCGCGACGACACACACATTATGAAAGCGATTGGTGCGAGCGACCAAGGCGATGAGCGACGTTTTCTAGAAGCCCAAGAACCGAGCGGCGCAAGCAGCGGGAGTGAGAAATCTTCGTCGCTCGGCGCCGGCACTCGTAGCTTCTCGCCGTCGCTCGTCTCGTTGATCGCTATATTGCTTACATGCCGTTCAGAAAGGCGCTCTAAGTGCTTAACATTGCATTGGGACCAGCCTCGCATCCAACCGTAACCAGTCTTGACTTTCTTTAAAGCCGCACAGGTAGAAGTTAACATCGTACAGTCGGGGACAAAAGTCTCCAGGACACGCGAGCTGCGGCTGAAACGCATTGCTCTGCCATCTGCCGGCGGGTCGCCTGGTTTCGAGATCACACAAAAGCGCATGCGCGTCCTACTCTGTCTGCAAACATGTGTGTTTTCCCGCTCTTCTGCGACACAGCGCCTAACTCGGAATCGGGCGCGTGGTACTGCCTCGGAGATAGCGCTGGCGGCTGACGAGCGTCTGCTACACATTCCGAAACTCGAGATGCCGCCTGGGGCATTTCGCCGCATTTCGCTGTGTCAGCGCACCTTGCTTTATAACCAGTTGAGTTTATCGCTCAGTAGAGTTGCCGTGACTTCTTGCTTTATAGGTGCCATGTCAGTAAGCGCTATCTCCGAGGCGGTACCCCGCGCCCGATTCCGAGTTAGGAGCCGCGCCTCAGAAGAGCGGGAAAGCGCACATGTTGGCACGCACAGTAGGACGCGCATGCGCTTTTCTGTGATCTCGAAACCAGGCGACCCACCGGCAGATGGCAGAACAATGCGTTTCAGTCGCAGCTCGCGTGTCCTGGAGACTTTTGTCCCCGACTGTACATATATCGTTTTCAAGCATGGCTCCTCGTTCATTGCTCGATTTACTCCTCGTTCATTGCTCGATTTACATTTGCGGTAAATGACAAACCGCAATGAAGCACAATTATTCTAGTTCAAAATTGTCACGAACACTTGGCACGCATGCTTACACAGTAGCGCACCAAACGTAATTTAAAAGTAGAACGAAAACGGGACGAGATTCGCTTACCGTTTCACGGAGACAGACGCCTTCGGATCCCAGGCCTAAAGAACTCGGAAGTCGCCGGCGGTCCGGAGATCGGACGAGGCGAGCCGACCGCGCTGACCCAGGCCGACCACACCTGGTTGAACTATGAGAGGCGCCGTCGAGTTTAGAACCAGAGACGCAGTAGAAACGGACCGCAAAACATCTGTGCCGTAACCGTAAACGAGCCAACGAACCACATCGCGCTATCTTCGCCATTGTTCGCCATCTCCGCGACGACCGGAAGTGGAAGCCGCGAACTTAGAAAAGCCGCGGCAGCGGAAGCACCGAAGCCACTGGGCGGAAGCCTTAAGTTTCGGTTTCGGTTTTCTCCAACGCCGGCTACGGTCGCTACGGTTGCGGGCTGGTGAGTTTGTGGCTGGTTGCGAGGACGCGAGGGGCCACGAAAAGACGCCGAGTTTGCCGAGTACGAGCAACGGGCCGTTTGCCGCTGTCGACCGGCGATGCGTTATCCGCGGCTTGGTGTTACGATCGGTTTCTTGCCGTGCACGTTAACTCAAAGCTCGAAGTTCCGCAGTTCCGTTCCGGCACCAGCCGCACCACGTTTTCCGGTGCATCGCACGTGGAGTCCTTTCGACGCATTCAGTGAAAGTAAAGATCGTGTCCGCTGTCTTCGGTGCTGTGGAAGAAGTTGCGAGACGGAAGAAGCATCAAAACCAAGGCGTTTAGGACTCCAGGCCGGGCCGCCGGTTCACTCTGAACGAGAGGCGACGTGTGTGCCCACGCTTTGAGGAAGCCTCCGCGTTTCGCCGCGCCAGACCTCGCCGATCGCGACAGGACCAACCGGACCCCGAGTCCGAGAGGCTCTTGCGCAGCCAGGAACGGCACCGAAGTAGGAGCTGCTCGTTCTGCGCTACCATGCAGTGCTCTACAGTGCTCGGAGCTCTCGGTGTCATTCGTGCTTGCACTGAAGCCATTGTGACCCCTTCGGACGCGCAAGTCGTACTTCGCAAAGGTTTGGACGGGGCCGCCCTCACCGAGCAGCTCCGCTATATTCCGCTTACTTATGATCGCAACAAAAGCTTGCGTTTGTTCTCGGGAAAAAAAATTGCGGGACCGCTCTCCGCGCCGCTGACGAGGTTGGCCGCCGCCATGTTCTCAGCTGTTCACTCGCTCCTGCAGCGAGCGCCTTGCGATTATCCTTCCCGTTCCAAAATGCGATGCGCTTTGCGCATTATGCCGTTTACATGATCATATATTGAATGCGGCAACTGGATTCAATGCGACTAAGTCGCATTCATGTAAACGCGGCGTATGTTCTTTTTCGACATACATGGTGTATGTACGATACCGGTGGTGAACGATGGACGTTTTTGGTGGAAGATGGCGGTCGTCTTTCTGCATGTATGATTTAGTTATACCGGTGGTCCTGTGGTGTAAGCGTTTTTGTTGGAAAGAAGGCGGTCGCCTACGTCATCGGACGCAAAATCATACCAGCCACACGGAATCATATCGGCAAGCAAACTGGCTGCCAGTATAGACAGACCCGGAGCCATAGCGGTGCCGGTATCTCCAGTTATGCAGAACGCCAAACCAAACTAGCTGCATACATAATACCAAGAAATTATGGTGGTGTCATACCAGAATTGTAAAAGCGGCAGGTTTGTTTCTTGTACGTTTTTCCAATAGGGATGTTTGGGCTCAGGAAAGAGGCTTCACAGTGCAACCAAGTCTTCCACTCCACCAGGCAGCACTTTCTTGCTTCTGTCGTCCTGAGTATGGTTTTCTCACGCGTCCTTGTCTTCGTTGCCCAGGGCCTACACCACACTGTCCTGAAAGGCACTTTCACAGCTGTGCTAGAAGCAGCTGCACTGTCTCAAGATGTGCTCGACAGTCTCTTTGTACCCGCTCCAGAATCTACATGTTGGGTCTCCTCCGTCAAACAGACGATCATCTGCTTTAGCAGTGCGCAATAACACAAACAGATGCATTTCGTCTGTCCATTTTCACAGCCTACACAGACGAATGCATTGCAGACCCATTCAGAAATTGAGAGAAATCCGAGCTCTATGCACTTGCTGATCTTGTAGTTTCTCGTGCTTATCTGCACTGGACAGACCATATCTGGGCAATGTTAAAAAACATAGCTGCTCATCTATCTCTTCTCAACAATGTGCTCCGTGCCGTCGAGGAAGTCAGTTGCATCCTTCTTAGAATACACAGAAAGAATAAAACACATGAAGGACGAACACAGACGCACACAGTGTGCGTCTGTGTTCGTCCTTCATGTGTTTTATTCTTTCTGTGTATTCTGTAGTTTTCAACGCGCTCTCCTACGTGTACATCCTTCTTATTTCCTTTGTACGAGTTGAGACTAAAAATTGTAATGCCTAAATATGGCCAGTAAAATATATTTGTGAAAACCTTACATATCATTGCTGAATTTCGTAGGCCATTTTAGTGTGAGCTCTTCTGGAGGACACGGGTTGTAATCAAAGCAAGCTGTTTGGTGTTGCAGATGGGCATACATTTGAATCTACAGGCATCTAAAAAAATCTAGCCCAAAAAAATCATGATGCAACTTAAAATGATAGGCACCAGCTTGCCAGCTTTTTCTTCATTTCTTCGCTCTCCAACGAATTGTCGAAACTCAGAAAATCCTCAACCGTGTTGAATGTGTCCAAGATGATGTCATCACTGGAGTCTTCGACATACTGAGCATTCTGGCTTAACTTTGCCACAATGAAGTCCAGTTGTTGAGACTGCTCCTCTTGTTTAGCTATTACCATATACAGCAAACGGAACAGTTCTTTCTGCATTCCTGCTAAATATACAAGGTATATATTGTTAATGCGTGTGTCATAACAAACATGTTTCAGGAAAGTGGTAAAGTAACTGAGAATAGGGTAAACTTGCTGATTTAGAAAACTTTCAATAATTCAGACTTGCCTCATTTAAGCTCATTAAAGCAACAATTATTTACCCAGAGAGATTGATCTAGCATATTAATCTTATGCATCTGGCATTTATCTGCAATGTAAGTACGAGACACAACTGCTTGATTAGAGAAACAGGCTTAAGCGCCGTGCACACTCTTGCGACTGAGTAAGACCGAGAGAGACCAGACCGGTTTTTCAGCCTCTTGCGACTTCTTAGGACCAGCTCCGCTGCAGCGGAGCTAGTCCTAAGAGATCGCAAGAGGCTTAAAAACCGGTCTCGTCTCTCTCAGTCGTACTCGGTTGCAAGAGTGTGAACGGGCCTTTAAAGTGAACTGTTAAATTACCCTATTTTAAAGAAAACACTTGCTATGGTAAATTTGTGAATATTCTAAAATAGCTTATTCATTTGGTTCTGTTCATTATACTTGCTTTCCAATGTCAACAATTCAATCTAAGCTATGCACAACAGAAAAATAATACTATGGGAAACAGCAATGAACACACCTTGGTTGTCTGCAGCATGGTAACTTTGGTGATTTTCTCCGTATGGGTGTTGCCTTTTGACATTGTGACCTGTGCGAGATTTTCAAATAGTGAACCTAGTACTGGTACTGGCACGGCCATATATGCAACACGAGGCAATATGATACACGAGTCTGAGCCTATGCTAGCTACATTTTTCAGTCTGCTAACGAGGCTACATGGTTAATTTAAGCATAACTATTTTAGTATTTCCGAAACTAAAAATAAGGTTCTTATATCTCTCACCTTTCACACCAACTCTAAAGTTTTCCTTGTGTGTCTTCTGAGATGAATGATCTGGAAGATCGCCAAAAACTTAAGAGCTTTAGTAAAAGAATGCTCAGCACACTAGGGACTGTTACCAATAATAAACTGCGAAGCCTGAGGAATTAACTGCAGTTCATGCAAGATGGTGTGTATTCACATGCGGCCCTGAAACTGTAGCACACAAGAGCAGAATAATAGGCACCATGAAATATATGCAATGTTTTCGTTGCTGGGTCACTCCGCTTTTTTGTACGAGTCTCGTGCTCATAATTTTAATAGCAACAGTATTTTTTTCAAAGCTTTATGCAGTAGGGCTGATGGTATTATAAATAATACAAGTATAATTGTATTAAAAACAAAAGCCGAATATTGAATTGAATAATAAACTTATTTCGCATGAGCTCAAATATTTACATAGTTGTGCAAGAAAAAGCAGCTGGTGTGTGCATTCTGTGGTCAACTTTTTCCATCGGGCCGTAACTAGAAAACTAGTTTACACATTTATTTTTTGTAAGAATGTAAGCTTCTAAGCATGCTTCATCTATCACTCTGAAATGCACTTTGCAACAATATTTCAATTTGAAACGGGGATCGACAGATAATTCTTATCTGTCGATCGCAAAAGGCCTTTTTATCTGCGTGCTTTTGGGTATGCAGTATTCAGAATATACATATTTATTTATACTTTATTAGCTAGCCCATAGCAGAATGAGAAAACCAAAATGCATTTCGCATATTCCGAATCTAACAGAACAGGTCTTTCGGTCGCCTTTTGACGAATATGAACTATACTCGAGTACCTGACTACTATATTAGCAGTTTGATTTGCAAATCAAACTGATATGAAGTCAATTAAACAACATAATAAAATACAATGTGCCTGATGACTGGAGCTAAAAAAATAGATATAACTCAATTGATTTGACAAATTCCGACAGCTAGGGGTTGCTAAAAGAAGTCATGGAGAAAAGCCTAAACTGTAAGGGAAAGAAAACCAGACAGGCTCAACTGTAACTCACCTTGTTGCACTTGAGGGGGCTCATTGATGACCACAGGAGGGGTTGGTGCTGGTTCAAAAGAGCTTGCTCCCACTTCGTCCCACTCATCATCAGACTCTACCGCAGGTGGTAGTGGTTCCTTTCGTGGTTGCAAGTATCCGTGTGCCTCTGAAAAAATTGTTTGGGAAATTACTGTAAACACACATGCTCAAAGCCAACATGAACACGAGGTCTACATCCGAATACAAGTTAAGGTCACAAAAGATGCACCACCACGTGGTGATGGGGTGGGAAAGGGCTAGACCCTATAAAGGCGTGAGGAAGAAGCAAAAAAAGCTTTTTCGTTTAGCTGAACTTTATTTGACAGGTCTGAAGGAAGATTGACGACAGAAAGAGTAAAACACGCAGGACGTCGAACATTTAGAAGAAATGTTTGTCATCCTGTGTGTTCTATTTCTCCTGCTGCAGTTAGCTCTACCAACAAACTCTTCAGATAATTTAACAAAGAAATGACACGTAGTAAGGAAGATTCTCTCCTAGCAATATTCAGGTTGCAGAAGAGAATTTCAGTTATTAGGAATGAAACTGAAATTTCTCTCTATTCGGTCATTAGTCTGCACAAGAAAGAAGTGCAGAGTGGGTGACACTTATCCAATGACTCAAAGTCACCCCTTCCCCACTTTTTTTTCTTGTGCGGAGTAATGGCAAAATAGAGAGAAGTCTCGGTGTCGCTCGTAAGAACTAAAAAATTGTGACGCAAATATTGCATATGGAAATTTCCAACAGAAACTAATTTTGAGACATGCCTATTCTACCCAGGCCATAAATTAAATATTTTTTTATGAGTAACATGATAATCGAACCGCTAGAACCATAAGCTGTGCAGAATATTCTGTAGACAATAGCTTACTGGAAGTTGAGGCACAGAAGCCAACTAGTACATCATCCTCATCAGTTTCATCTGTCTCCCATCGCATCGGCTTTTTTCGGCGTCTTTCTACGTCACTTTGCAAATCAGAGGTATCTTCGGCTCGCGGAAGTTTTCGTCTAGCCTTCTCGTAAGACTCTGCAAGTTCGAGAAAAAAAAAAGGAACACGATACAAAATTTCACACGCTACACATTTTGGAACGATTAAATTCCATAAATAGAAAGAAAAAAGTTCAACTGCTGAACTTTTAAAACCAATTGATGTGCAATGAGTTCTGAAATGCAAGTTATGGGAATTCACTGCCATACTAACCAAACCAATCCATGGCAGTGCACTTTAGCCGCTCCCAGGAGTCTGGTGGTTGGTGCACGTTTTGCACCATTTGTTGCAACTTTCTCGGGTTCTTCTCTGGTGGCCAAGCGACATAGCCATCCTTATACCAGGACCTTGGAACAACTGCGACCTGATCATCATAATCGCTAAACTTCACGATTCCAAACATTCCTAAAAGTAAAACCAAGTACAGGCATTTGTTATTTTAGGGAAGACAGCTGAGGGAAGGCAGCACAAAGATTAGTTTGCAAAAAGAATGAAGACCTATGTATTACTCAGCTGCAATGGTTAGTAAATTTGCACTGCACACTACCATTCTCAATCTAAAATTGTTATTTTCCAGCCTTCAGCAGGTATCCTGAATTTAAAACTAATACTACTAATATTAAAACTTACTGCAGCTAGATGGAGCTGACCATGATGAAGACCAAACGAGAAAAATGTATTCCACGTAGGAATCCAAGTATTCTGCACTTTCTTTGTATTATTAATTCCAACAGGAGTTCCCAATGTGGTCACCAGCTCCAAGTTAATTATCATGAAGCAAGGGAAAGACAATCTTCTTGTTTTCATATTCAAACTTGAGGCATTTGAAAGATATGTCCTCTAAAGCCCAAGCAGTTGTGGGTGAAAGATTCGACACCTCCTAAATGCCAAGAAGAGAGGACTTGCACGGGTACGTGTAAAAATCAGACCGTGCAAGAAACTTGGTTCCAACAACACAAGGAGACCCAGAAGAGAAGAAAGCGATATTAGAGGCTTGGACTATGCTTCCGTCATTCATGACAAAGCAGCTGTCCCTGGCATCAGTTTTCAACACAAACTTGTGAGGGACCACAACCTTTGTGAACTGCGGCCCTCTGCAACCTGCAGGTAGCGGACCACTCTCGTGCTCTGAAGAGAAGCATGGTTCCGCTGACGAGACATTTGCTTCCGTGCCTGCACTTCTCTCCTCCATTATACGCTTGTACAACTGCTGGAGAGGCATTTCAGGCTTTCGCTTTTGCTTTTTAAGCTTCTGCATATAATTCTCAAATGGGAAAGCCCTCCACCCATTCACTGAACCACGGGTCTGCACATCCGCAGCAAGGTGAATTAGTCCATGGAGATTTTGAGAAGCTCTTTCTTCTCTATAAAGAAATATGAACGTCCTAACAAAGTGGAGCAGAAGCTGCTCTGCATAGTCAAGGAAATCCCGACACAATCTGGGCGATGACAAGATTGTCAAGGCAACATGGAGAGACATCAAATTCTTGTACATATCTACGGGCAAGCTAGGCACAAACACAAGAGGGCCAGTGTACAGAAGGATCAGCTTAAACTCAGTAGCCTTCCATCGGTCCACCTCAGTGAGAGACCGTGGTTGTCTGCTCAGCTCAGAACAAATAAAAAGCCGGAGGTGGCAGAGCTTCTCTGAAATATCCTCTTTGACGCGCCTGTGTTGCCTGTACTTTTTGGAGCCTTTGAACCAGAGGAAAATCAATTTCTTCACAACACCCAGCAACACCAGATGCATGTACTCCAGTGGCACATCTTTAACCATGTCAATTGGCAGTTCCTCTTAGATGGTTGTGCCAGTGTGATGGTCCTCTTGTCTAGCTGTCCGAAAGCTGTGGCCAGTCCTCAGCTCCGCATCAAACTGTGGAAAGCTCAGTCTCCGACCAACTGTCTTTCCCTCAGTTGTACACTTCGTGCAACTGAATATCCATTATGGCTTTTGATGGAAAGCACGTAGGCCTTAGCAGGGGCATCACAAATGATTTGTGTGAGCCTAACTGCCACCCTCCTGCCATTGAGGAGAATACCAGCCTCCAGCAAGCTGACCATGTCACGTACAAAGGCCTGCATGAACAGATTTGCATCCTCTGGCTTCGACTGCCCACAAAAGACACCTACAGGAAAGGGGCAGCCATTTCTGCAGTTTGCAACCCTACACCATATTGGCCAGAACTGGTCCCATGTGCTTTTGGTCAAGGGAGCCCATCAATGTTTATCTATCTGCAAGTAGAGGCATTCTGGGAAAGTTGTCAAAGCTTGTAGATTGTCCACCAAACCAGCAGCCAGTCCAAAATGACAATAATGCCCGCCACCCAACTCCGTTATTGCTGGGCAGTTTCTTGGAGTATCAAGCAGAGTTTTAGCACAGCTTGGCAGGGACGAGAAGCAGGGATGGTTCTTCACCAATTTTAGGTCATTCAGAGCCTGATGGGAGATACTGTTCTTGATACTCCATCGCCTTAAGTCGTTTCTAAATTGGTCAACAGAACCGCTTTCTCCATCACTTGAAGTTTCTTAGTGAGCGCGTTGGTAATGATGTAGGTTTAGAAAGAGTTATATACGTAAAAACAGGGGACGGGACAACACATTGTGTTGTCCCGTCCCCTGTTTTTACGTATATAACTCTTTCTAAACCTACATCACTTGAAAGTTTCGGAATTTTCGCGCCCGCGGCACCTGCGGCTCCACTGTCGCCGTCATTACTGTGAACGGAAACATTAGAACCTCCAGTGTTTTCGATACTTCCAGAAAAGAGACTTCCCTCACTGGTGTTCAAGACTGTTTCCTGACTCTCTGCGTCACGTTCGGTGGCAGCAGAAAAACGTATGCCGGAGCTGGGTCCCTCACTGCCGGACGACCCGTCCGACTCGCCCCCTACCGCAGTTTCACCGTAAACTGCGGGGACGGAATCGCACACCAAATCGACGGCCGCGCCTGCCAACCGTAGACTCATTCGTACATTTTCACGTAGTTTCCGCCGAAACGTCCGGGACGTCTGGTGTTTAGGCATGACAGCGCGCGACCGCACCTGTGCCACAACCAAACACCGCGCCCGGATCACTCAAAACCGCGAGCAAGAACGATCACAGGGTTACGCACGAAGCGTTCATGAACAGTTTATCTGACACCGCGAAACTTATGAAGTAAGAAAAAGTGTGCTTACCTGTCACCCTTGCTCATTTCACGACGAAAACGAGTTTTTGTTTCTTTACGGAATCGCGCCAAATGGTCCAACCGTACAAACTGCGCACGCGCTAAGTTGCCTATAGCCGATACTAGTACCGCCAGAATTTCGTATTCGATTTGAAGCTTTATAATCATTAAATATGGTATTAAAGTACATTTATAATAATAAGACAACAATTAAAATTATTTAATTATTTATATATATATATTTAAATTTTTGTGCGTTTAGTTTCGTATTCTACTGGTTGAGTTTTCAACAGGAGAATTTCCCTAACTCTTCCCGCACAGGATATACTGGGGTGCAATCCGACGAATGTCCCCAGGACAATGGCCTTTAACATGATCTCCCGCACATGTCCCTTGCAGGATATCCTGAGGATTGCAGTCCCAGGGATATCCCCAGAATTAGTTCCTCCCGGCCGGGACATCGGGATATTATGGGGATATCCTCAGGACTTTGCGTTCTGTCTGGGGTTTCACCGAATGACACTTCAGCAAATAGTCGGACGCCGCGAAGCGGCGTCCGACTATTCGCTAAAGTGTCATTCGGTGAACCCAAATGTGTTCACATTTTTGTAATGAGCAAAACCAAAAATGTGAACCCAAATGGGTTCACATTTTTGTAATGAGCGGTCGCCGCGAGGCGGTGTAAAGCGCAGCGCGGCGGATGGGTTAACGCGCGCCCCCGTTATTCGCTAAAACGTCGATTCGCTCAAATGTCACTGTTCACTAAAATGTCATTCGTTCATGTAATATGAACCCGGCGTCCGGAGGGGCGCTCGCAACGCCATGCCCACGTGACGGCGGAAAACGGAGAGTCTGAAGCCTCAGCGTCGAGCTCAGAGCTCGGGTCGGACTCGTAAAGATGGCCGACGTTTCCCCCGCCGTCTTCCATTCTGCAGACTGCACTTCTTCGTCGGCGTTCATGCGGACGCTTCGTTTGCTTCCGCGCGTAAGGGCGCAATTTCCTGGGCATGCAGAAGACCGTCGTTGCAAGTGTTGTCTTCTGTGAAGTGATTGTCTCCAGTTTTTAGCGCAGTTTACTCCGGATTCTGGAGATGGAATGAGGTCATTATGGTCTAACGTTTGGACTTGTTATGTTTTTTTTTTGTTTTTTTTTTATATCTTTTAATATTCACGTCAAACCGTTTATATTGTTGGGGTATTTCATACCTTCGACTGAAGCACGATGTACTGCTGGCTTTGACGCTAACGCACTCCCACATGTGCAGCTAACGTGACGTTTTACGGTTCGGGCAGTGCTTGAGTCGATTCACATGTCGTAAACACCAGAGTTGTTCCCATGAAAAAGGAACTTCATTCGCGATTTTTGCGATGGAACCGTGGAGTCGCTTGCGCTAGTCCAGATTTCGTCATTCTGAAGCAAGCAGCTGGCTAAAATTCTAAAATTTATTAAAAAGAAAAAAGGAGAGAAAAGCGGCTCATAGACGGAACAAGGTAAGAATATTTTTTTATTTCCTGACAGAATGAAAACGGCAGGGCATGTCTCTTGAACGTCCGGCGTCCAGCGTGCGCTCCATGTCATCGGCCGTGCCTTCGCTGCGCGCGCGCGCAGGAAATGCACGAGACGTAGAAGCCATTTGACGAAGGTAGCATGCTCGAGGAAGAGCCGGTGATAACTGAGGCTCCTCCTTGCCCTTCTCAGCTCGTCAGTGATTATAATTACCCTTTTTGGTGAGTAAATCTTAACAATCGTTAAACAATTTGTCAGTTCACAGCATACCACCTGAAGGATGAGGACAAGGCAGAGTAAAATTTGCTCCATGAACAGAATCTTTTCCCGATCACAGAGAAAGTAAAGTGTCGTTTCCTGGAATGATTTAGCTCTAGTTTAGAAGATAAATGTTTCTCGTTATGTTCCCTGGATGACGATATTTCGCAGTTGAAGTGTTTTCTTGCGAAGCAGACACGGACTGCTGCTCCTTAGCATTCTGCAATTCATGAAAAAGCCTGGGAAAATCTGTGCACTTGTCTAAGGGTTGACATATCAAGCTAACGATCAATTGATCAGCTTTTAATTCGACGTCTTTCCAATTCTTCATAAAAATTATCTATCATTTGCTGGGGAAAAGCACGCCGCGAAGCAATAAACGGGTGATATATGAAATTTATAATGCAGAATTTTCATTGTTTTAGCGAATCGG